CAACTTCAGAGGAGGAAATTTGTTGCGTACTGTTAAATAAACGAGGAAAGATACGTGTTGTGTAATTTACTGCCGGATTAAGTGAATTCTGTAGTCCGTGCGATACTGTACCTAGAGAATAAATGTTTCTCACGTGGCCACGTACAACGATAAAAATCGACCTTTATCGAAACTCATGCCAAAACAAAACACAAACTATCTTTGCCAGGAAATAAAAAATGACACTTGAAGGTGTTCGGAAACAAAAGAAATACGTGCGCGTTCTTCCTTCCAAATTTCTACCTGTTCATAAAGTCTCTAAACTAGTACTCGTATAAAAGTCAATATTTTTTAAAGATAGAAATTTTACGAAAGCTTTGAAATTTAACAAGCTTTTCCATTATAAATGATCCAGAAAATTCAATTCAATTAATTTATTTACGTGTTTGCCAACAGCAAGAAGCCAATAACAGGCAAACACTGATAATACATACAATAATAATGAAATAAAAATGAAAAATATTACACAAACAGATTAACTAAACTTATACATGTACAGTATTAAATGTAACTGCCAAGTACAGGCAAACCCAAAATAGAAACAATATTAACACAGAGCAAAAAATGAAGAAATATAAATAAAAACAAATAATCCACCTAGGGAACACTAATATAATTGTAAAACTTTAAAAAATATAAAAAAAAACAGATAACGAAGCTAGATCATTTCCCTTGTTGAGAACGTTCGCTCAAGGGAGACAATGTTTTATGATGTTACGCAGCGTAGTCATGCGTAAATTAACCGACGTTTCGGAGATAGATACTGAATATTATCACGACAGTAGGCAGCTTTGAAATGTTGGTGAATTTCTACGAGACTACACTACCACGAGACAACTTTAACCTCGTCGCCATGAGAACCTCAAATCACCCTCATGAGAGTTCACGCCCCACAAATTTAAAGAATAAAACAATGAGCTTGCTTTTCACCAAATATTATTACACAGATGAAATGATGGATGATAATAGGTGGTGTATCTTACAGTCACTGTTATTGCGGTTTGTTTGACGACAAAATCACTTGTTCAGACTGTACAGGTATCCCTCGATTTGCGCCGGTTCAATTTGCGCCAATTCAGAATATCGCCGATTTTGAAACCAGAAAGTCAAAAAGTGGAAAAGAATATATTATACTATTATTTACAACATTTTACAATATTTCTAGTACTGATTCTTATACTAAATCGTAATTCTTACATCTCTGATTTTGAATAAAATTTATAAATACAGTCATCTCTGCAATTACGTATATTTCGTTAACGCGAATTTGCTCCAATGAGATCGATGAATCGGTAAAAGCTTTTTGTGAAACGCAAACTTTTGCATATGCGAGTTTGCTCTTATGCAATTTCATTCCCGGCGCTTTAAACTTTCAAAGGACTAATTTAATCTCTGCGGAGGTCCCGGGGTTATTTTTACTACGCGATTTTCTATAGGTCGGCGTCTTACATGAATGCAACTATCGCATAACAGCAGAGATGGGGAACGCATGTCATTGACTTCCCATTGATTTACATTATAAAAGAGTTTCGATTTACGCCGGTTCGTCCAGGAACGCATCCCCGGCGTAAATCGAGGGCTATTGTCGAATGACAGGACGGCTAATAAATAACAATTTTAAAATTATATAAAAGGAAGATAATATCCCGGTATTTTCCAGGAGGGACTTAGAAAAACCTGCAAAAAAACCTCGGTCAGTACATCCGTTACGGAAGCCTAGATATAAACCCAGAACCTCCAGCCACTCAACAACAAATTTCGGTACCACGCACCAGAGTAGATAAGAATTTCGAGCAAATTTTAGTTGAGAGGCCAGGAAGGAAGAGATCACAAGGATAATTCAGACAAGATGATAATATTAAAATGGATCTTACAGGTACGGATGAGGAAAGTTGTGAGGTGATCACTAAGGTGCTACGATATGGTGGTCAAAATGGGAACTATGAATCAAGGCGTATACACGCAAATTGACTTTCTGAACTTAATTTAACCACGTAGCAGGAAAAAGCTATCACTGACCTGTTAAACTCAATTGCAGATGTTAACATCAGTTTTGCTTATCAGTCTATCTGTTTCCTTCAAGTATCTGCGCAGATCTCTAACGTCTATGAATACAGAGTGACACAACTGAAAAGTAATTACAATCAATCTTCAGCTAATAAACTGAAATGAATCTAATAGTGGTTTTAACTTTAACAGATTTTATAAATATAGCCTGTAGATTTCCCAAGGGGACACAGATTCGTGTGATTACTCAAATATGTTTCGGGTTTTCTTTTCGGTACGGCCTGAACAGTATAATTTCCGCAAAATCATCGCTCGTATAATAACAAGTTTCATAAATTATCTAGCAAGTATGTACTTTTCCTAACAACTCAATTTTCTTAACTGGTCTTATTAACCATTGCATCAAATCCAAAATTACATTCCTTCACTGCGAGAACTGGTAGTAAAAACGGATTTAAAATTACAGAGAACGTGATGTTATAAGTGAATCCTATTTCCTGCATTATTTTTACTCAAAATAACAACAAAATAACAGCCTTTAAGTCTGAGTGAAAGAGAACAGATTATTAAAATCAGGGAATTCAAAATTGTGTTGAGCATTTCATGAACAGGCCACTGAGAAGTTACAACATATGTCAAATATTATATAAAATATAATCTACGTGATAATAATTTTTCAGCACTGCATTGGACTCCCGATTATCCGGGGTCGGATTAACCAGGGTATGTCACGTTTAAACGAAAATTAAAAAAATAATTTTCTGTAAATATACTTGTGTATTTGTTACATTTGCGTGATTTTTTTTTTCATTTTTGAGGATTAACAAACAGGATAATCAGTATTCTACTGTATTATCCTAAAAACGAAATGTAATCCCAGGGCATAACAAAAAAAACTACTTCCGAGTGTAATGCCCTAAAAAAAATCAATTTTCCACCAGTGGGTTAACCTAACACAGAAATGACATTCAGTATCCTGTATTATTCTGAAAATGATGTAACTCTCCAATACATTATCCTAAAAGTGAAGTGATATCCCTGTACATGAAGTAAGGTGATAGTCGCTCAGCTAGTCAAAAAATTCCACGCCTTTCATGAATCCCACAGGTTCACTACCGAGTTAATAAGATCGACCAAACACCGAGCCAATCCAATCCACACTTTCCAACCGTATCACGCTAGATCCTTTTTAATATTATCCTCTAATCTACGCCGATGTCTTCCGAGTGGCGTCTTCCGTTAAAAGTTTCCAGTCAATAGTTTCAAAGTATTTCCAGTTTTCGGATGCGGTTTGTAATAGACAGGAACATAGAAATTCATACAAAATTTAAATAATATAGAATTAAATGCAAAAATATCGAGAGCACCTAAAAGCTGATGGATCCTAATACTCATTTCTTGCTTTGTATAAGAGAATTACTAAATTTTTGGCGGAAGATATTTTTAGTATATAATATATATAATAACTACCTCAGGCAATAAAAACAATTCTTTCTTGATTCCCATATTGTTTTCTTAACCAACCTTTTTCCCAAAATTCTTCATCATCATCATGAACTATTTAGGGTTTAGGCCTTATGGTCTGTTCCAATGAATCCCAATACAAATGTTCCTGCTTATTCAATCGACGTTTCAGTCGTCACACATCTCTATATCCTCGTGGTTGGTAACGGAATGCCAGTTCTGGAAGCCTATTTCAGTCCATGCTTTGCAAATTGTCTTTCCAATTTTGTTAATATTTTTGTATTTCTTCAACTTTTTTCAAAACCTGAAATTTTTCTCTGATATCAGCATCCTTAAATGGTATTCGATACTATTACAGTCGCAGAGGAAATTTAATAAATAATTTCACGTATAGAATTAGCGTAAGAATATTTAATATATATAAATAACAAAAGAATTTAAAACAATATTAAACATCTGTACTCGTGCATTAATCAACGTAACATAATTTCACGTATTCATAAAATGTCCTCAAAAGAGGGTGTTTTTTGTCAGAAATGTTTAAACATTTACGTATCGTTTGTAACAACAAGAAATAAACCTCGATAAATCAACTATTTCCGTAGCCTTCCTATAGTTTACTTTAGAAACTGACGGCGTGTCGTATTTTAGCTGGTAGGCAGTACGCGATGAACAACCATCGGCAAAGCCACCGGCCTCATTCTCTGCTATTCCGTTTTACCTTCCACCCCGAAGCATCGGGACTGCGAGAAACATAAATCCAGCAGAACCACTCATTTCTACACCAGCCCAAGCGGTTGTAACACTCTTCTACGTTCGTGCATTCTCTTGCTGGATGAATACGTGGGTACGTACAACCTACGACTTGACTACAAGAATAAATTTGAATCTCAGGAATATGCGAACGTGAAATAAATGTAACCACACCTTAACATGTAGTGTAAACAAGTTAATTCTTTATAAAAGACACATTACGGACACCAAACGACCTACAAAATCACGCTAAGCTCTTAATATATTACCAAATTTCTCTATTGCAGACTCAGTATAAAAACTCTGTCAATAAACCTACGACAAAACTCGATGGTTACGAGGGCTGTAAGTTAAAGAAACTAATTAACTAATTAACTCCGTGGCATCCCAACAATTACTCCATTCACACACAGAAGAAGGCAATGGCAAACCACTTCTGGATCATCTGCCAAGAACGTATATGAACAGGTCCCAGTCCGAGAAAAGGATGGAAGGATCCTGTTCATATGGACCTGTCGTCAGACAGAACGCTAAATAAATATAAAAATAGTTAATTACCACCTGCTCATTATGAAATAAATTCTAATATGTCAGTTTTAATATTGTATAATCTACACATATATTAAGCACACGCAAATTATAGGTGTATATCTTTTTATAAATCTAATTTTACATTTTTCGTTCATTGTTGATTCAATTCTGAAAAATAATTACACAAAAAATATAAACAGCAAGCATTAGATCACTAAATTACTAACGTCTCCTCAAAATATGTTCACAAAGACTTCAAACGAAGACACTAAAGCCACTTTAATCTGCACAAAGGAAGACATAGGTATAACCAAAACGTAAACATAATTCATAAACACATAATCCACGCGAATACTGAAATGACATTCTAGAGGTCTTCCTCAGTAACATCTCGCAAGGCCATTGGTGAACTAGACTGATCCAAGGTCACTGCTGTGCGTAACAATGGAAAACCTTAGAGTCTCTTCCTGCCAACCTCTATCCGCTAAATTTACCACCGGCACAAATTATTTCCGTATCTCTTCGTCCTTCTTTTGTGTGGTTGCAAAACTTGGTCTCTCACTTTAAAGGAAAAATACAGATAAATATTTTCATCAAGTGACAGGAGACGATAAATTAGTAAAAAACAAAAAAAAATAGGATTATCGAATCACAAAGACATGTCAGTGATTACAAACAAGTTTGAATTTCGTCCGGAAATCCTTAAGCGAAAACATCACTCAGATGATAATATTAAAATAGATCCTCTGGAAAAAAAACGTGTAAATTGTGAAATCAAAACGTACAGCGTTGTAACGAAAACTGTACATGACGTCACCTCGATCCCTACGTCCGCGCCTTTAAGTTCTGTATCTCGTATTATTGATACCCTGAGATTAGGCAGCCCTCAGTAAACCTACGTCGGATTACAGGGAGAGCATACAGAGAGAGCGAGCGAGCGAGAGAGAGAGAGACTGTTGCGGGCATGCGCCTCGCGTACGAGGCACGCGCTCTGAAGTTGTGGACCTGCCGCCTGGCGGCTTGGGGAAGCAACTCGCGTGCGACCCTACATCCATCTCATTCCATCTCTTTATCCAACCATTCGTTTCATCTACCTTTCTGTGCGGTCACAAGAAGGAAAGAGAAAAGAGGACATTACAACGCATGAGAGCAACAGTGTCCAAACCTCCGCGATCCGATCACTTCTGGTGTCTTCCAAGTCGCGAGGAGATTTTGTCAAGGTCAGTCCAAAAAACGTGTAATCGTAGATTACAGCTCGGACAGACCACGACTGTAAAAGAGGACTGACTACATACAAGCTTCGTACGTCATCCTTTAAACCCCCAAAACTTACCTTAATAACATTTACGCATTAAGTCCGTACCGCGAAGAAAACACAACATTTCACCATTACAAAACATCGACTGGTTCACGTTTTTAAAAAGAAATAACCCCTGTTTATCGTGAGATTCATACCAAATATGCAAGTGGGCATAATGAAGAATTGCTGACTGTTAAATTCGGTGGTATAAAAAGTTACCACTGGAAGTTACTGAGTTTTCAACGCAATGTTATAAATTCAATGTCAAGACGGACAGGAATCGAACCATGACCCCTGCACGTTTTAAAGCTCTCAGAACCTCAACGCTCAACTCAAGAATTTCCTTACCCGATATTTTATTAGGATATTAAAAATTAACAAAAATAAGGCAAAAATCACATTTTCTGGTATTGACACATGTTTGATCAGTTTAAATGTTAACAAAATAATTAAAATTTTAATTTTAAATTTTATTAATATGCTATTTTAACTAACTAAAATAATGCGAGATACAATAAAATTAATTTAAAATGCTTACAGCCTTCGTTTAAAACACTCATTCTTAATAGCAGACCTAACCATCAACGAACTGCAAACATCAGCTAGACGCAAGTTCATGGCTCTAATAGCATTAACCAATTTCAACTGCATCCATCATCCATTTTTTTAAAACACATCTTAGTCTTGTTTTAACTTCCAAGATATTTCCTCTACAAGACTCTGTAACCACACCTTGTCTCCAGAATTTACAATCCTAAATCAAAAGGAAGAATAATTTATTACAAACAATAAATGTTACGATAAGTCTGCATAACGTAAAACTACAATAAAAAATATAAAGTTACTGTGAATTAACCCCGTATAGCAAAAGGAACAAAGTTTAATTTCAAATAAAATTGATGTCACCAAGTAATGGGTGTACATAACGAATCGAAATCAGTTGTACAAACAAGCATCACGTTGCATACGAAGAAAGTGGAATTATTCCAAACAACTCTCTTTTCGTCAACGGGTGTCCTTCTGCGGTACCCTGATATTAATCTTACTCTTGGACTGACTGAATAAGACACAGTATAAATGACAGTCTTGCCAAACTGAATATAAACAGACAAGTTCTAGAACAATTTCTTGTTAATTTTCATTTCATTTTTGTAACCCCTATTTTGCTCAGCGTACAAAAATTTATAAACAAAAATATTAAAACAAACCAATAAATTGATAGGCATATAAACTATTCTACACACCTGATCTTAAAATGTAATGACATTCAGCCAGATTCTACATGAAACGTCTTATACGGTCCAACGTTGACATTAAAGTTTTGTATTAAAAATTCGGAAATGTGAACTTTTCCGAAAACATTAATATGAAAGTCTTACTTGTTACTTCAGAAGTTGCATGATCCATTTTTAATACTATTTGTACTCTACCATCTATGACTAGGTCATCCCTGTGGTGGCTTCTTCTGAAGGTTTCCAACAGAAATCTACAAATTTCCTTTCCACAGTCTGCCAAATCATGTCCATAATATTCTCCTTCTTTTACGCTAGGCTTGGATCACGTTAGCCGTTACATGAAGGCAGAACAAACTTATGGCTTACCGTGATACTTTATTCAATAAATTCGTCTTTAAATTCAAATATTTGTAAATGTATTTATGTTAAAGATGAATGTCTTGTGGGTTGTTGAGCCGTGTAATGTCGTAGAAATAGATCGACGTTTCAGAGGTTATTACTGCCTCCACCCCGATGATAACGTGTCCGACACGTGTTCAAATTTCTTGATAATATTAACATTCAAAAGTCTTTTAGCCCTACATATGTGCAAATGTAACAAAGACTATTAACTGGACATCTTTCAATCGGAATTAATATTAACTGGGATTTTTCACGACTAAGACTTATCGACATATCGATAAGAACATCGATCTAATCGATTCTATCGATATATTCGACCCTACATTTTAAACTGCCTCAAAATGGCGTCTTCTAACTTGTAAAATTCGACAGGAATTACGAATTTAAAATTACGAACACTATATTTCACATTCCATACGTAATACGAGTACGGTATAAATTACCATCTACAGTTTACAGAAACACGGAATTATCATAAAAAGTTTAATTCAAGCGTTTTGTAGGCATTGGAGGACAAGAAGAAGTTATTCTATCTTCCTGCCAAACATTCAGCTGTTATTACAGTTTGCTAATTATATCGTTCTATGTTCTCCGCACTCCACACGGAGATACGCCAATTAACAAATTTCCTGAAGGGAATTCAGGCATATAATTCACAGTCTTCTTACAAACTGTAAGAAATTCTGAAATTCGCGAATGTATTTATTTAAGGAAATCAACTTTATAACCATGCACCTTTAAGAAAGAATTGAATGATAACTTTATGCAAGCCTACATATTAAAATGTAGGCTTAACTAATACTAAAATCAAGATACTAATTAAACAAATAAATCCAAATAACAATAAATGTAAACAATTAATCTTAATCTACTATAAAATCTTCTTCTACTTCTTACTATAAAAATTTGTGATTAGTCGTTATCGTCAAAAAATGACGTCATCAACAATGCCACCTTATATTTGTTTACTCGGCATTGTTGTGGAACACAACAATGCTGAGTACAACACAACAATGCCGAGTCTTCCTATAAAAATTTGTGATTAGTCGTTATCGTCAAAAAATGACGTCATCAACAATGCCACCTTATATTTGTTTACTCGGCATTGTTGTGGAACACAACAATGCTGAGTACAACACAACAATGCCGAGTCTTCCTATAAAAATTTGTGATTAGTC